GTCCGTCCCCCGCCCCCCCCCCCCGGGTTTCCCACCCCCAGGGGCTGGAAGTTGATGCCCCGGGGGGGTGGGGGTGGTGTGACCCCCCCCGTCTACCTCCAAACGGCCTCACGGAGCAGCCGGGGGGGCTCCGTCCTCCTCATTTTGGGACTGAGCCGAAAGCTGCTCTCGCACATCTTGGCGTTTCGTTTTCACCCCTACTTTTCTCGCTTTCCCCCTCGAATACCTCCGAGGACAATATTTCCTCCTGAAGCAAGGAAATGTCATCTCGGAAATGTGTGTGAAAGCAGCTAAGCGGGAAAAAAAGCAAGAACATAATAAAATTGGTACAAAGTAATAAAAATTCAGAATGCATCTCATGCCCTAGAAATCTTTAGGAGCAAGAAAAATATCAAACATTTGGTCTGTTTTTACTGTAAATCTCATTGTAAGAGAGTCACACCGATGGGAAAACACTAAAATACCTTTTTAAAGGAGTTCTAGACAAAATACACTGCCAATTTCTTTCACTTTTATTTTTCCTGTAGTTTATTGCTTAGAATGAATCTGAAAGAGTTTGCATTGCTATCAAGCCTGTTCAGAGTTTATACTGGAGTTTCTCTGGATTCCTCATACAACATCATGCAGCTGCTTGCTTTTCTAAAACCAATAACCCCCAGACAGCCAGCAATCATTACACCACTAGCAGGGAAATTGTCAACACTCATCCTTCCACTGAAGAAACCCCCTCATCCATCACCAAACTGCTGCCTTTCTCTGGCTGTAACTTCCCCTGGATCACAGAGAAGCTTTTATCCTGGGAGGGATGGAGTGCTTTGCTCCTCTCTCCCATGCTCCCGGCTTTGGGGACACCAGCTTTGCATTTAAGATGCATCCAACTCCCATCTGCTCTGTCAGTGCACACTCTGATTTTCTTCACCCCTGATTTTCAAGGAAGGAGGGGGGGACTCAACTCCTCTACCCCCACGCACGGTCAAGGAGCGCTGGCTGCTCTAACCACCTCTGAAAATCTGCCTGAGGGCGTATTGAAGTGCCAAGAGTTGGCAACCGCCTCAGAAAATACTATTTATAGGCAAAATTGTTAATTTTCCAGAGAATGAAGCTGAGAAATTGCTGGGATTTGTGTTAATAGATTTTTAAGGGGAAGCATTATCTGCTTGGCTGCCAGTAATATTTCAAGATCTAGATGGGGCTGAAAGCAGGATATGAGCTCCCTTCTGCCTCACATGTCTGGATGAGAGCCCAGAGGCAGAGCGGGAGCGATGCTGACACCCCCACCCAGCCCAGCAGAGGCGCTGGGGCTGCCAATCCTCCCAGCACTGACCATCTCACCCGTTCAGTGAGGCTGGAGGGGCTCCTTTATGAGCAACCGAGAAGGAAAAGTAATTCTTGAGGGGCTGGGACTTAATGGCAGGCGAGCAAGATGAGTGGACATCCCCCTAAACTGTGGGATGGCAGTTTCCACTTATACCCAAATGATCACTGGGGAAAAAGTTAGAGAGATCTCTTCATACAGTGTTTTTAAGACAAATTCTAAGCACTACTACCAGCTGTATTTTTACAACTCTAAAGAACTGAAGTACTGTCCTAAAACCCTGGGCATCCAACAATCATCTGAGGAACCTGGAGGAAGCGGGAGCCAGCACAGTCACTGCAGGCTCTGCCAGTCTTGGCTCCGTCTTCTACTTCTCTGCAGCCATGGGGCAGTGGGGATGGATAATCTAGTGCCTGGATGAGGGCAGGTACCTCTGCTAAAGAAAAGAGCTGGAGAAAGAGGGGGATCTCTGGCTACTAATGCTGTCTTGGGCAACCAGAGATTCATCCTGGGGCTGGTAATGGACCTAGAGCCAGTGTGGAAGAGCTGCAGCATATCATGCTGCTATGACAAACCAGTTAAAAAATATTTGAGCAGTGTTTACCGTGGTGGAGGCATCTCCAAAGCAAAAGCAGGACCACAGTTGGGAATTTTCCCCCACTGATGCGTTTGGTCTCTTTTCCCCAGGGTAAAGTGGCAATCAGTTTTTCCAGCCCCACTGTTGCAGCTTCGATACCACCCCCATCCCAGGCCAGACACACACCCATCAGCGAGGGGGAGATCTTCAAGCTTCCAGGCGGGCTGAGTGAGTAGATATTGAGCAAGTCAATGCTGGTTAAAAAAAAAAAAAAAAAAGTGAATTCCCACAGGATGGGATATGGTGGGTACAGCCGTGGTGTCCCACCCAGTTATCAGGGTTCATTTTCTCTCTTTGGGGCATTTTTGACCTGTGAGTGCTTAATAGAGAGGGAAAAATTGGTGATGGAGAAGACTAGTATCCCACCCTGCCACCCCTCAGCAGTTTTGAAGGTGGACTGAGTTGTTTCAGAGGCTGCCCCTGGTTTCAGGAATCCAGCCCTCACTGTGGAGCAAGGACGACGTGATCCACTGGCTAAGATGGGCTGAGAAAGAGTATTCCCTTCGGCAAACTGACGAAAGCAAGTTTGAAATGAACGGCAAAGCCCTGTGCATCCTCACCAAGGATGACTTCAGATACCGAGCTCCGAGCTCAGGTTAGACGGAGTGCAAGGGTGTTTCTGAGGACTGTCCAAGTACAGCACAAGCTGTGGTCTGCTGAGAGGAGCTGGATGGGTCCCAGCAGACCAGGCTTTAGCTCTGCCTGGCCAGTTGGGTGCTGGAGACAAGGACAATCCTCTTCCTTTAGTCCCTCTGGACTGCAAACACTTTGGGGTGGGGAATAACCTCTTACTCTGTAGCACAGAAATCTAAGTAACAGCATCAAGTGAGAGAGACAATACAAAGTCATCTGAGCAGACTTTCCTTCTCTGCAGGTGATGTGTTATATGAAATACTCCAGTACATTAAGACTCAAAGAAGAGCTCTGGTGTGCAGCCCTTTGCTGAACTCACCCTTCAGGGAAGCCAGGAGCACAGAGGAAGGTATGCTAGAGAATGGCAGCTGTCCATCAAACAGAGCCTGCCCTCAGCTACAGTGGGTTGCACACATCTGGGGTTTGAAGCTTAGCCAGCTGAACCCATCCAGCACTACCTGAGCAAGGCAAGTGGGACAGTCCCAGAGATAGCAGCCAGGTCTAACAAAGTCCAGGTCATCAAGGAAGTTTATAGTGATGAAGCAGGTCTGGTCAGAATCAGGCTTAAGCACCAGGTGGGTCCATGGCAACCCAGCAAGGCCATAGCTACACTAGGAAGTCTATCTGCAGGTTGAGATCTGGATCAGGGAAGGTCAACAGACAGGAAGAGGCACAGCTACAGCTAGACACTAGTTCTCCTGCAACATAGCTAGGAAAGGCTTGAGGAGCCAGGGCTGAGCTTAAATAGAGCTTCTGGGCCAATGGGTGGAGTGGGGAGAGGCCCCAGGTGAGGCTGGTCAGGGCCAGCGAGGCTTATTCGTGCCCTCAGGGGGCCTAGGTAGGAGTTAGGGTGCTTAATAGCTGGCTTTGCCTTGAGGTGGGTCTGGGAGTGCTTTCCTGGGCTCTTCTGCTGGCTCAGGTACAGGGTGATGAACATCTTAAGCCCCCACAGCAATTTATGAGGGAGTGCTGTACTCTGGTATGTTCTCCTATGCCAGTTTTTCTTCTGTATCTGGCTATTGCCCTACTTAGCATTTTCTCTAACCCCCCTGGACTTTCTGCTACTTCTGCCTTAGGAAAGTCCCAGGCTTTCCTCAGCACCTGCCTCATCTGGCTGGGCTGGTACCATGCTCATAACCAGCCTGGGCTATCCCTCCCCACCTGGTTCAGGGCTTTGGAAGATCTCCTGGGACCTGCTGCAATGTACACCAGGGTTTGGGTTTGGTTTGGGATTTGTGGTTGGTTTTTTTTTTTTTTAGGGACAGACTGTAGAGCTGTCGCTGCCCCAGCTGCTGTTTCCTCCTGCCTGGGTTGTGCAGAACAGCCTGTGTCCTGTAGCTCTGCAGAGCCACTGAACCTTTCCCATCACAGCTTGGAGGGCAGCTGCAGGGCAGATGCCATCTGCTCTTTTCCTACAACCCTGTCAGCCCCAGTGGATGGGAGAATTGCAGGTAAATATGAATTTATAGCCCGGTTCCTTGGCTTGTGCTTTGTCCTGTCTGTCCATCTGTCTCCCTTCCATTTACTCCCTGCATCAGTGTGTGCTTCCCTGCCTCAGTTTTCCCACCTGAAAAATTGTAGTTCCTGCTAGTGTTTTGAGATCTAGCAATAAAAGTGCTGTGTGTGAGCTCTGGGGTCTTCTTATATTTATTATCATTCCTAACGTGCAATCTTGTTGCTGATTGACCCTTACTGGAGCATAGGTGCCTTAGTGGGAGCTCTGTGACTATTTATTCTCCACCAACACTCAGACTGCAGGTTGCTGTGGGATTATGTGTACCAGCTCCTCTCTGACAGCCGCTACGAGCCTTACATCAAGTGGGAAGACAAGGAAGCCAAGGTCTTCCGTGTCGTTAACCCAAACGGACTTGCCCAGCTCTGGGGGAACCACAAGGTAAATGTAGTTGAGAACAAATTTGTCATTCCTGGGCTTCTGCATGTTGCCTTCATGACCTGTTTTCCAGAGCTGATGGCACAGGGACTGGGAAGGGTGAGACGGAGTGGGCACAGGGCTACTGAGAGATGCCAACCTCCTGGTGATTAAAGAGGGAGCCTTTCTCATCCCCTGGAAAGCAAACCATGATGGCTGTGGACCCAGAAGCAAGTCTGGGTTAGAGACCCACGCTGCAGCCTGCGGTGCCCAAGAACCACCTCGAATGTCCCACATGTGGTCCTGCTGCAGACAGACCCAAACCAGGTGTTGGTGCTTGCTTTTACTCAACCCTGCCCAATTCTCTTCTTCCAGAACCGGATGAACATGACGTACGAGAAGATGTCACGAGCACTCAGACATTACTACAAACTCAACATCATCAAAAAGGAGCCAGGGCAGAAGCTGCTGTTCAGGTGAGATGAAGCAGATCAGAGAACTGAGCTGTCTGGGATAGTGCAGATGGGGCATGGGAAGGCGATGGGCTCCAGATGTTGACAGCTGGTTCATCCAGTAAGACCCTCCCCTGCAAATGCAACAACCTGGTGGGTTTGTGTCCAGGCTCTGTCCTTTGCAAGCTGGGAGCTGGGTCGCCTGGGATCTGGGTCCCATCTGATGCCCTTTCCAGGGCTGCGGGCCAGCAACCTGCCCTGGAGCCAGCATCCATCCGCTTTCCTACATGGAGTCCAGCTGGTGCTGGAGGAAATGCCCCTGACCCCACCCAAGCTGAACAGGTCCCTCCTGTTCCCCAGTGACACCAGGTCTGAAGTCCACCTCCAGACAGAGGAAGGGGTGGAAATAAGCCAGAAGCCTCCTGTTTTCAGTGCTGGCTGCTTCCCTGGGACTAGTTTGGACTTAAAATGCCAGCTCTGGGCCAATGAGTGCTGAGCTTTGTCTCCCCAGGCTTGGTGCATCCTGGGTGCAAAGCAAGAGCTGGGATCCTCAGCAAAGCCCAGGGATGGTGGATACCCTCTGGCGAGCTCCAGAGCTCAGCTGATGAGGGCAAGGGCTCCAGCATTTACAGCCTGCTTTGGGGCTGGGTTTGGACATGCCCTTAAAGCCATTAAAAAAATGTGTTGCAGGTTTTTGAAGACTCCTGGGGAGATCATCCATGAGAAATCCAGCAAACTGGAGCAGCTGGAGAACGAGGACCATGAAGATTTGAAAGAAGACCCACTGGAGGTTTCACTGTAGGAAATCTTTGAAGGTGGCACTTGCAGTGCATTGCAGACAGACTTGAGCTCAGCTGGGAAGTGCTGGTGTCTCTTGCATCTCCTGGACAGAAGGCCACAGAGCTGGTCCTGGATTTCAAAACCTGCCCTGAGCCAAAGCTGTGACATCTCTGGGGCTTCATTAGCAAAACATGCCCAGAAACTGTCCCCCAGCCCTGAAAAGTGCAGGTGAATGTGTGGGCTGGTCTTCTGCTTGCTTCCCTTCTGTCCTGAGGAAGGGAATGTGATATTTCTGCTCTGTAAATTTTGATGCTTTTCTTTAAGGTTCGAACTTGCTGGTAAAGACTGCTCCATTCTTACAGCGAGACATGCTGAGCAGAGAGCACCAGAGCATGTGCTCTGGGTCAAGCGTCTACTGAAGTGCTTTTGCAGCAAGCAGTGGCCTGAAGTGTGAACATGCTGCTCTGAATCTGAGCCATTTCCCTGATTTGAGAATGGACTTACATTGCAGATATGCTGTAATCTCACTGTCTCCTGTGGGGTTGCTCCTGTGATTAAGGGTGGGAGTGTGTTGACATATCTGCCTGAATCAGGCCTGGCTGAGCTCCAGGCTGCATGGATGCCCTAAGCTGGGTCTCATTTTAACTTCTTTCCCTCCTTGTAATGCTTTTTGTAATTGGCTGACTAAATAATGTGAAAAGAAACAAAGCCAGTAATGAATATGACCACATTCATAGTCAGACACGTGGTTATTTGCTTTGAGTCTGAAGCAGGAATACCTGCAACCCCAGGCACAGTTAGTGACCTGGAAAGAACAATATGTGTGTGGTTTTTAAATCTGAAAATATCCATAATATTTTCAGATTACTTTTCATTGAGGAAATAAGCTCATGACTGTGTAAGGTTGAAAATCCCACTTCTTGCTGGTTGAAGTTCTGAAACGGGGGAATCCAAGCCTTCCTCATTTCAAACCAGCTCGTGTGGGCACCCAGATCTTGTCCCCAAGCTCAGCAGCCCCTAAACCAGAGTGCAACAGTCCAAGCTGCTCAGCAGCTGATGAGTGAATGCAGTGCAAACACATGGTGTTTTGTAGCTATGTGGACAAGCGCAGATACAGGTCATGAAGCAGCATCATGTTTCATGGCTGAGTTCCTTCCAACTCCTCTTTTGCACCACAGCAGAAATTATCCTGCTGCCTCATATTTTTGCTCTGGACCCTTTCCCAAGCCTGAGCTGCATTGGCACTGCTTTTGGGGCAGCAATGCTGTGAATGGGTCTGGGAACTGTCAGTCTTGTGAAAAACTCTGGCAAGTGTTGGTGACTGAGGTTTCCACCAAAGCTGGTTGTTGCCAACCTGAAACTACAGTCCCTTTTGCCATGACTAGTGTGGCTCCTCCAAAACTACTTTGTGTCCATTAACTGGAGCCTGGAGATCCTGGTGGGCTGTAGCCAGCAAGAGACGGTGGTGGTGGGACACATGGTGCCTGGCTGGCAAAATGTCAACAGTACGACATCTCTGGAAACTAGCTGAGAAGTTTCACTTCCAGAAATCACCAGCTCGTTGGCAAAATACAAGTGCTTGATGAGTCAAGTGATGGAGGAGAAGGAAATGAGAAGCTTGCGGGGTAAATGAGCATAGCGTTACAGCCTTTGGGAGCTCCTAGCTAGGAAGGGAGGCCAAAATCTCTGCTAGGAGGGGGGGCTGGAAGTTACTCAGCATCCAGCCAAGCTGCAGCCTGGTGATGCACCGTATCGGGCAGGTGCAGTGAAGCACCCAGACCTCATCCTTCCTTCCACAAAGGGTGCTTTTTGTCACAGAGAAGACTAAAGCCAGATCTTTCTTGGGGTGAAATCTAGCAGAGAGTCAGTGTAGGTCCTGCACAGCTCTGAGAGACAGCTTTGGTGGGAAAGCAGACCTCCTTCTTTGGCAACTGTCCCATCCTGGCCCTGCGTTGCTCCTGGGATATACACCTGTGGGTGCATTTTTCCTGACCACCTCCTAACAAGACATCCCCCTGCTTTCTTGCCATGGAAACAGCTCTGATGACTCCTGAGCATCCCACCACTTCTCTAGCCTGCTTTGTTTTGTTGGAGCAGGTGACAGTTGGTCATCCTGGTACTTGTGCCCTGCTCACAGGGAGCGTGTGAGATGCTCTCTCTTCACCTGTTTCTCCTGCCATGACTAAGGATCCCGCTGGACTTGGATGGGGATTTCCTCTCCCAGTTGGGAAGCTGCCAAAAGCATTCAACCCTCCTTGTGCCATGCCGTGCCACTGCGGCTCAGGAGGGATCTTGGAGGGTGAAAATCAAAGGGCACCTTTGCATGGATGGTTTGCAATGATGACCTCTTTCCATGTTCCCGGGAAGCCCTTGTGTCCTTCCCAGGGCAATGTGTCTCTTTTCCCTGCGGTAAACAGAGGCAGGAAGGCTGTAAACCTGCTGCTTTCCTGGAACAGGGACCCATCCCTTTGGGTAAACAGCTGAGTAACCGCCGCTTGTGCTGGGGTGTTTGGCGTGGGTGTGTGGGGAGGAAGAGCACACAGCAGTTGGTGCCTTTTGCCGTGGCTGAAGTCCAGGGCTGGTGGCATGCAAGCGCGTGCCACGTGTGGGCTTTCCTGAAGGTTTGCATTTGCTTTGTTCCCTGGACGTCATCCATGCTTTGACAGCCCCAGGTCTAGTGGTGTTCAGGGCAGGGTGTTGTATGGCAGCAAATGCAAATGCCCATGCATGCCCGCTGCTGTCTTGTACTGCTCCTCTGCTGAGGGAAGCAGCTAAAATCAGTTCCAGGGCTGGAGGAAAAGAAGATTTGCTTTGGGAGTTGATGCCCACCACCCTCTTGGATCAGAGGCACAGTACAACTGGGCTGAGAGGTTTCCACTGAGGCCACGTGTTGGCTGTGCCATCTGTCCAAACCTGGGCCGGTGCAGGGAGCAGTGGCTGCCCTCGACACACCCGTCGGGGTTCAGATCTGAAACTGCAGATATTTTTGTGCCCAGGTGGCTGGTGTTGGCTTGAAGAGACTTTTGTGGTCCACTTAAACCACAGCTGCCTCCAACAGCCAGTCGGGTTGGCTGTGGCTTTGGCTAGCCAAATCTTGAAGATCTCCAAGGATGGTGATCCTCAGCCCCTCTGGACACCCATTTGAGGTTGTCCCACCCTCCTGCGGGGGAGGCTTTTCCTGATGTCCAACCTCAGCCTGTGGCCTGTCTGTCTTGTTCCCAGGAAATCTGGGTGATTTGAATCCTGTCTTCTCCTGAACCCACTGTAACCTTCCACACCTCGCAGCTCTGTGTGAGGAATACCTCTCCCTTGTTTTTTTTCCATCTTCTGGAGCAAGTTCCTGTAAATAAGCCAGTTATCCCCTCCTGTGTCCCCATGCTTTTAGTTCTGCTTTTTCTTCCAATGTTACTGGCCTGAAGATGCCAACCTCAGCATTGTGTGCTTCCTCCACGTGACTGCATTTCCAGCCAGCTTTCTCATTCTCTCCGAGTATTGATGAGAAAAGTGGACAAATTTGGATCCAGATCTCTTCCCCCAACCCTGGTAATGGGCTTTTGGTTTGTTTCAGGTCTCTTGCAAACATCTTTTTCTTATGCCTTTCTCCCATTAGGTTTGAGCATGTCCCAAATCGCAGGAGGGATCTGAACTTGGATAAAGGTCTGGATCCAGAATCACAATTCAGGTCAAGATTTTTCCTGGAGTCACTTTGGGTATCCCATCTTTAGGCTGTGTCCAGACATGCTGTTACAAAGCGGAAAAGCCTGCAAGTGGCCATAAGTCAAAGCTGATTTCCAGTTTAATCATGAGAAGTCCTCCATGAGTAGAGATTGTGTTTGGACTCAGCCTTGGATGATCTCCAGTAGCAAGATCTCCAAACTGGAGGTGGCCAAACTGTGCCTTATCACCAGAGTGGATGTGCCTTTTCATTTTATGGATGTTGCAGAGGAAAGAAACCCAACAAAATTGATTGTGAAACTCCTCACCCACTGGAATCAGCCTGCTTATGAAAGGACGTGGTCATATGCTAGTTAGCAGCGTGGAGCTCCTCATGGACAGTTTAATTATTTATCAGAAGTAGATGGGGATGCTGGAAAACAAAGCCAGGTAATTCCTAATCAATACCAGACTCTGATTCATTAGTGTAGGCTCAGGAGAAACGGAGGGAAATGGACTGGATCTCTCCCAATTTTAGGAAATTATGGCACAGAAAGTTTGTAGAAACAGAAAGAAAATAATCCTGGACTGTTCCAATTGCAAGCTGAACCCATTATCATGAAAAGACTGTTTTTACCCAGGAGGGACCTGGGCAGCTCATCAGCCCACCTGAAAACTAGAGAAAATGGAGCACTGCTCAGGTGGAAATCTTGCTGAGGGGTTTTCCAAATCCTGTGTGCCGGCAGCCGCTGCCTGGCAAATGCATCCGCGTCCAGCACCGTCCCTGCAAGATGCAGTGCGTAATATTGCCATCAGATGGCAAAATAGCAATGAGGATGGCGGGCAGCAGCCTGTGGGAGGGTGTAACAGGCACAGGGGTGCAAGGGGGTGGCTGTGGAGCCAAATAGATCTTTGGTGTAAGAGAGGTGTAAGAAGATTTGTTTGGCCCAGGGGCAGATTGTAGGTGTTGGGATGTACAGATCTGTCTTGCAGGTTTGACCCTGGGACATGCTCTGCCCCTGGGCAAGGCTGAGTGGGAGCCATGTGGGTGCACAGGATTTGGGTCATGAAGCTGGTCCTGTTTCGTGTTTTAGGGTGGGTGCGCGGGCTGTCTGAAGGACCCCAGGGTGGGTTTCAAGGATGTTGCAGCTCAGCCATGCTCAGTGTTAGGCAAAAACCTGATGGCAGCGTGCCCCAGAGTGTCTGCGGTCCCACAACAGCCACCAACATCCCCTTTCCCGAAAGCTCCTGGGATGTGAGCAGGGCAATCTGCTTGCTGCATTGAAACCCCATTTATCTGAGAAAGTTATGACTTCTCTTTACAAAAACAACCCAGAAAAGCCCATACATGTTATCACACCCCATTAAAAAAAACACCAAACCAAACCAAAACCAAATGCTAAACAGATGGCCTAGATAGCAGGTTTCAAAGGCCAGTGCTTACACCAGGTGACAGGTGATTTTTATGCTGTTTTGCTGCTATTTGTCATAAGGAAATTGTTTTCTCCTCCGGCGAAACTCACACCTGCTGGTTTTCCACCACGAGGGAGGTGATATCGGGGATCCCAGGCGGAAGCACTGGCCGCTCTCCTACCTGAATGGCTGCTAAAAATAGGACTTAGTCAGTCACTGGCCTCAGCTATAAAAAAGGCACCTCCCAGGAGAGCCTGACAACCCTCAGTGCCCGTGGCAGAGGAGTTTGTCTTGACATATGTCCAGAAGGGCAGAAATACTGATGGAAAGGTAAATATCAAAAGAGCAAATAAAGAATGATGTGGCCAATGTGCTGGAATCAAAGTAGGAGGGGGGTTGTTGCTTTGCTGTGATTAAATCTAGATGAATGATTTGTTATCGGGTGGTCGGGTGGCTTTGGTGTTGGCTTGGATGAA